GAGAGAGAGAGAGAGAGAGAGAGAGAGAGAGAGAGAGAGAGAGAGAGAGAGAGAGAGAGAGAGAGAGAGAGAGAGAGAGAGAGAGAGTACAAAGGAGGTAGTAAGGCGTGACCTTAATGAAGTGAGAAAAAATGAATCGTTTTTCAGATTATTCAGAACTTCCTCCTTTTTCGGACTTTTGTTTTTCGCTTTTCGCGTGCAAATACTGGATAATGTTATGGTCCAAGGCTTGGTATATATTAAGTGTATTTACTATTTAGTACTATTTACCCAAAAAAAAGGTGTATTTACCAAAACTTTTGCTCTTTTCTTTCCTCTTTCACACCTTTCCTCCTCACCCCCCTCCCTCACCAAACTGCTGGGCTTGTCTGTATAATCACTCTAATTCTGTTATGATTCATTCACTCGAGAAGACGAGTTTACAGACACATACACACAAAAAAAAAACGTTTCACACAAATAAAAAAGATCACTATTGAGTAAACATATTGTAAGAATAATTTGATTGAATTTTGAATAATAGAATAGATAACAGAATAAATGGAATATGTATTAATCGAATTCCTTCACACAAACCATTTTTTATTTTTATTTTTTCTTAAAAACGGGGGAAAAAAAACCGAATTCTTGACTGACAACTTGTGCATATAATTAGACGCTGTCGAAATGAAAAGAAAGTTAAAATCACTGAAACCGTGAAAGTAGATGGGGAAAAAAAAAAAAAAAAACGCAAAAAAACTTAAATCATATAATACATTGTTGAAGCAGAGAAAAAACATTTTCTTTAAAAAAAAATAATTGAAAATTGAAAAAAAAAGCAACCCCCCCGTTATAATCGAAGTTATTAAGAGTCTGGTTGACTAATGAATCCAGAGTCTTAGATCGGTTGTACTCAAAGCGATACTGAGATCAGGAACTCCCTCCACCCTCCCTCCCCCTCCTTCCCTTCTTCTTCTGCTTCGAAAAAAAAAGAAAAAAAATAAAAAAATAAAAAAGGAAAAACAAAAAAGAAAAAAGAAAAAAGAAAGAAAACACGAATACCAGAGTGGAGGTCCCACTAGCAAAGAGGAGTGGACGCATGAATCTGGACATCTTTGTCAAGAGATGTAGAAAATCGCGATTGATCCTAGGCTACCAGCCGGGCCGCCCGGGTCACACTATTTTCCCGGGCGGCCCGGCCGTGCGAGGACCAGGGAAGGTCCCAGCCAAAAAAAAAAAAAAAATCCAAAAAATCCGAAACAAAACTATGTTATGCAGAAAAATAAACCGAACAACTTTTGCCTCAGGGTCACATCGAAATTATTTACCAAATTTAAAATAAAAATTTAAAATAATAAATATTTATTATTTATTTAGTTTTATTTCTTGTTTGCCCAGCCGGGCAAGTGGACCCGGGCCACTCTGGTAGCCTAGGATCATTGATCTGCTTTTCTGCATCTCTGCTTAGAGCCCATCCAGATTCAGGCGCTTAATCCAATCCTCTTTGATTAAAAAAAGTAGCAATTGATCTGCTTAGTGGGACCTCGGCCCACAGGAAAAAAAAAAAAAAACCTCGATAATACTTAGAGAGACAAACTAGTTAAGATGAAAAAAAGTAAAGCAGGTGAAAAAAAGAGCAAGTTTTATTCGCCGCTCTCACTTCTCACGTTTTTTGTTTTTTTGTTTTTTTTTTTTCCCCTCACGTCTTTTCTAATAAGTCAAAAGCTATTAAGAAAAACTCGAAATCTTAAAAACATCGAAAGTGAAAAAAACAAATTCGAGAAAATCGAGAGCCTGGAACTCCCTTCGTACTGGTCCCCCAGAAATTTCTCAACTACCAGAAACAGCATCTGAATTTCCTCAAATGCCCCTTTAAGCGAATGCACCTGGTCGTGTAACCGTCAAGGTGCGTTATCTGTAGCGACTCGTATGTTTCATATTTCCTTTTTTTTTTTTTTTGACAGGCTGGAATGCATCTTCGATGTGATAAGGGCGCCCCCTAAAAAGATTTACCTCCCTCCCTCCCCCCCTCCCCCCCCCTGGATAGTGATTGCTTCATTCTTTTATCTTTCCCCTTTAAACAAAAGGAAAAAAACAATAGTTCTATACTGCAATTGCGGAACAACAAATGTGTAGTGAGACAATAACAGAAAAAAAAAAAAAAAAAAAAAAAAATTTCCTGACAAAAAAAAAAAAAAAAAAAAGCTTGGAGCGAATCATGGGAAAAATGGGAGCTAAAAAAAAAAAAAAAGAGAAAGGAAATGGGAGATAGAAGAGAAAAAAAAGGGAGCTTCGGGTACGTTCAGTGACGTTGGAACGGTACAGAGAAGATTCGCACGGCCTTGCGCGAGGATGCCAGGCGTAAATGTAGAAAGGAAAAAGGGGGAATGCGACCTGGCTCTATGGAGGCGAGGAGAGCGTGTGGAAGCTGGAGATGGCGAAAGGGATGGGGTTCGTGCACGTGTTCGCTGTCAGAGGTAGGAGGAGAAAGGAGGAAAGTGTGTGAGAGTGAAGACTTGGTGCAGGAGCTTCTTGACTCGTTGCTTCTCGAATGAAAACGTGGCTGTGCGTAAGTGCATGCGCGTGCCCGTGCGTGCGTGTGTTTTGTATTCTCGAAAAACAACTCGAGTCCACCAAAAAAAGGGCGACTCTGGGCTGTTTGTGTGTGGGTGCGAGTGTGTGTGTGTGTGCGTGTGTGTGTGTGTGTGTGTGTGTGTGTGTGTGTGTGTGCGTGTGTGTGTGTGTGTGTGTGTGAGAGAGAGAGAGAG